CATGAGCATCCTGCAAACACGGACTCATGGCATGGACCACATGACCACCACATGGACTCATGCACTCGTGTACAAAGCCCTAGCCTAGCACATGCCGCATGCCCCATCTAACAGCAAGGCGACTGCGGCGACTGCTACGACTACTGTACTGACTGTCCATGACATGATGTGCACCTGAGTGCACCTCGGTGTTGGTCACGCGCTGTGGCTGTGGCCTGTCACAAAAGCAGGTTGATTTATGTCACGAATCGTCACTGAGTCACTGAGGCACTGAGAGTCACAAAAGCCATGACGTCGTCCAATGTCCCGCCTGGCTTTTGGAGTCCGTGACAGACCTGAGTGGGTCGGTATTCATATCATGCAAGTGTAACTAACCAGCCAGTCAATCAAACGGTGCAAGCAGTTCAAGCAAACGTCGAACAGCAACAGGCAGACAGGCATGAGCTTCTTTTTTTGGTCGCCCAGCTCGGCCACGATCTGTTGTCACGTCAGAGCCCATAGCCACTGCCACCCATTGCCCATAGCCACAGCATCCGTCCTTAGTTGGATATGCGAGAGTGACATGGATGTATGAGTTCACCAAATTGCATCTGTCGAGTGCATCCAAGCGGCATCATAGTTCCCGGCTCCAGCCCATCAGTCCACGTCTGTGTAACATTTTAGCATGTGTCAGTCAACGTGACATGTGTGGCATGAGCATGGACTCAATGGACTCCAATGAACATCGACCATGCGACCTCCAGGCTCACGTTCGTCTTTGCCGGACTCGGGCTCGTGCTTAACGGCAGCGCTGGGTGCGGACTGCGCTGCCTACACCGATCGTGACTCAGGGGAAGATGAGCTGACTCACACACATGTGACATGAACGGACACATCATGTCATCATGAATCATCATCATGCCTCCTCAGATGACCGTGGATCCGTGGACGGGCTATCCATGGCATAGTACTGCCGGACAGCCTCCTGTGTCGCTGGCGACAAGTCCTCGTCAACGTCCGGCGCAGACGAAACTTTTGGCTGAGCCACCTGTCTCGCCCTTGCCCTCGGCATGGCCACGGACTTCTTGGGCACGGGCATGGGGCCCTTGGCCAAGCTCTTGGCCACGGAGCCTTTGGGAATCGTGGTCTTGGGCGGTGTCGTGGGGCCCTTGGCCAAGCTCTTGGCCACGGAGCCTTTGGGAATCGTGGTCTTGGGCGGTGTCGCTGTCTTCACAGAGCCTCTGGGGGTCGTGGTCTTGGGCGGTGTCGCCACAGAGCCCTTCTTGGGTGCCGGTGTCTTGGCCACAGAGCCCTGCTTGGGCCGCTTGGGTGTCGGCGTCTTGGGCTTCGTCCGTTGCACATTACTTGCCTTCGCCTGACGTCTCACACCCACTGACACGGAGAAACTAAGAGTCGCGTTCGTGCCAACTCCTAAAATCTATTCAAATGAAACAACAACTTACACACACCAAGCAAACAGCATGAATGACATTGAAATGACGACGACCAAGTGTGAGACTGGGAGTCACAGGAGTCACTGGTCACGTGATCACAATAGTGGTAATGCAGAACATGTTGTCCATGGTGCAGATGGAGTGACGTGAATGCACTGCATCACTACATCATGCGAAGTGGCACGTGGCCGTATGTGTATGGCCGGGCCGTGCAGAATGGATGTGGCAACATCGGCAACATGCATGCATGCAACACGTCATGTTTGATGGGTCACCTTGGATTCCACACCGTCGGACCGAGAATCACATACACGCGGGCATAAATCAGCACACACTGTCACACTGACACACTGCTACTGCAGCATTCCCATGTTGGCCTTTGCGTGGTTGCTGCTGCTGCTCGACGACGACGAACTGGACGCTGGGGTTGTGCTGCTGCGACTCTTGCGACGTCGCCGGGATCTCGATCGTGTTGCCTGGGCGAGACTTCGTGAAAGTGACACAGTCTCGTCTCATGCAAGAGTCATGCACTCATGTACCGAGAGACCTAAGTTGAATGCGGGAATGCTGGCTGGAGACCGCTCTCTTCTCGCGACCTCTTTCTTCTGGCCGGCGTTCCTTGACTCTCCTCGATTTTGTTCTCGATCGAGTCGATGCCTGCAAGGCCAGGATGTTCAGGTGATATTGTCTGGTACATGTGACTGTGACATGTGACCGTGACCGTACACTGGTACACTGTACACTGCCGTACACTGCGGTCCAAGGACCGATCTATGACGCTGCCGGCGTCGTCTGCTGGAGCTGCGGCGGCGTCTGCTGGAGCTGCGGCGGCGTCTGCCGGAGCTGGAGCGTCTGCCGGAGCTTGAGCGATGTCTGCCTCTGCCGGAGCTGGGTGGCCTGGGCGGCGTCGGCGTTCTGGAAGGAAGTGCCTGGCGTGGCACTAAAAATGCTGATGATGATTCTTATGATATCAGTGTTGTTCATGGACGAGATACCGTCTGGTGCAGGATCGGAATCTGTGGCTCTCTCGGGTCTCTCGGCCAATTAGCCTTAGCTGCCGCAGCCTTTGTGGCCGGTCTGTCACAACTAGACTATACATTGATGATTAGGCATCACCCGTGAACTGTAGCAAATGATGTTTGACATGACACAAAGTCCTGGACTGGCGTCCATCCTGCCGGTCTTGCTGGCGACGTGTCCTGAACAGCGGCACCGGCATGTGTATCAAAAGAACTGGCATGGCACATAAAGTCACATACATGATGCGACAAGCGGCAGCGTCATCACTCGCCACCGTCGCCGTCGCCGTCGCCGCCTCATTGGACTCTGTGACCTGAGCGTACCCAGCGAACCAGCGAACCGAGCGATAAGTTACAACGTCACCTATCTCATACTCATGTTCACATGTTCCAGCTCGGCGACGTTCGGCACCGAAGCCGGGGGCTGGCTGTCAACGGCCTGAGACGTCTTTCGCTGCAAAACCGCGACGCATCACGCTTTGATCTATCAGAATCTGTCTCTCTCATGCAATGTGCCAAATGCCTCATGAGCATCTGCCCTGGACTCCGTCGGCAGTGGTGTACTCGTTACCTTGGTTGGCAGCAATGAGGGATAGCATGGGGATTCGGGATCACCTCACTCACTCAAGACTCATGATGCTACTGGTCAGAAGTGCCAAATGTCTTGCGAGCAGCAGCTTCCTTGGAGTCTTCCCCGGTCTGTGTCGGGAGCGATGCAGTCGGTACCTTTGCTGGCAGCAAGCAGGGATGTCATTGCGATCACTCCAACCATGACTCATGCTGCTTACTGGTCAGGAGTGCCAAATGCCGCCCTGCGAGCCTCTGCCTCGTTTGCCCCGGACTCTGTTGGCAGCGGCGTGTCCGTTACCTTTGCTGGCAGTTAAGGAATGGCATGGAAATCACTGCACTGCACTCATGATGCTACTGGCCAAAAAAGTCTTCAATGCAATTCCTAGCTGCCTCCGTCGGAACAGATGAAAACGCCACGCCGCAACTCGAGTAGAGCGAGTCGTGGATGGAGTTGCAGTCATGGCTGTACGGCTGTGGCACACGCGCATGCAACGGTGGCACCGGCGTGTCTGCCAATGCTGGCACCGTCGGCGAAGTCGGAGTCGACGGTGGAGTCGGCGGTGAAGTCGGCGTCTTCACACCCGGTGCTTGGGTGGGCTTTGGGGTGGCCGCCCTCTTGGAGCCCTTGGAGTCCTTGGAGCCTGTGGACTCTTTGGACTGCTGCTTTGCAGTCGTGCCGGCCGGGCCGGCCTCGTCTTGAGGTGGTGGGCCCTTTGGTGGCGGCATCGGTGGTGGCCCAGGTGGCGGTGGCGGGGGGGGAGGAGGAGGGCTTCTCGAAGGCTTTGCCCTGCATGCCGTCATGAAGGGGAAGCCTGGCATGACGAAGGGCCCCGGCATCACAGGCGGCATCATAACGACGGGGATCGGGATGCCAAACGGCCTGCCAAACGGCGGTGGCGGCGGTCCCCGTCCCCTCAGCCACTGGGGCAGTTTTGCCGGCGGGGGCAGGTTGATGGTGGCCCAAGGGTTGTGGGGCTTGGGAACCCCTTGGCCACCCTCACCATCATTCTCATCCTGTTCTTCTTCATCCTTTGCCACCTCCTCCTGGGCGGGTGGCTCCGATGGCCCCGACTCATCCGCCGGTCGCTCCGGCTCCTCTTCGGCCGGTGGCTCCTCTTTCTTGGCTGGTGCCATTATGTTGTCGGATGCAAATGTTGTTGGATGCAGAAACCTGAACCTTTCGGCTACTGTCTCACGAATGTCATGCGAATGTCATGTCATCTGTCTGTCAATGTTCTAAGTCACTAGTGCCATGAGTCCATGAGCGTGACACAATTGTGGTTGGCTTGAGCATGACACACTGCACTGATACTGCACTGACCAATGGACCAATGGAAGCAAGCAAATCACTGCCAAACGCCACGCAACAAGAACACATTTGGACTTGTCTGCACCTGCACAACTCCAAGCCCCGGGCGTCGATGTTGCAGCGTCCGGTGCCACGCCCGATTCAAACCTGCGTTGTAAGGGCTTGAGTCGACTTAACTGTGTCACCGTCTGTCAGTTATCTATGTCATGCTCTGCATCACTGCACCGAATTGCCAACTGCACCGAGGCTGACACGAAACAACATGCAGTCCAAACCTTTGGTTCTCGTGATGACACCTACATGTTGACATGACAGCACGCAAACCACTTTGTGTTCCGAATTAACCTGGCCTCAGCTCGAGCATGTGTCTGCACAAGCAGCAGAACCTTTCTACACTGGTGGTGACATGACTCATGACCCAATGGCCCAATGGCATGTCGCAGTGTCACATGGCTCTAACCAAGCATTGAATCATGCGCTCATGAGGCTCATGAACTCATGAACTGAACTCATGACACATGACAGACAGACAGACAGGGCATGCGGCATGCAGCACTGCAGTACCTGACATGTAGCAATGAACATGAAGAGTCACAAGATCACCGTCGGACCATAGCAATCCCGACAGCATGAAGTGTAGTTCGTGACATGTGACGACTTGCACTAGCACTAGCACTCTAGAGGTTCATTAGGCAGTCTAGAGTCTAGGCCCCCCTGCACACCGGTGTCGCGAAGCGCTCGAGGAAGGTCAGACGAAGACGGACTTGGCCAGCTAGCCGAACCCTGATCGACGCGCGAGTGACACTCCGCCAAGACCTTGTCACAACAACCGCGGTGACTGTGCAGCAAACAGACAGGGCAGAGGGCCAACGGGCCCGATGGGCTAGTCCGTGGTGGGTCGGTCTCTGCCAGCCTCACATCGGACCCAACACCATCCGACACGGAGTCACATTGCCCACAAACGAAGCACACTGCATCATCCATAACGAGATCGATATCATCCATCAGTTTGCTCTGTGCGGCACGAAGCATGTCAATCATGCGGAGAAGCACAGCTGGAACTTGATTGGCCTGAAAATGATGCAGTGTCGATTGGGTCCTTCGCTCACGAAGTACACGCACACCTGTGGCAGGGATCAGAATCGATGCACCCTTCTCGACGAAGTTCATGGGTGTCCGCTTGTTTCCGACTGGAACGATGCACTTCAAGCGGTTTGTGTTCGGATCAAAATCAGCAATCCGCCCACGGATACCAGGGTCTGTCCACTGCACAAACACGAACTGTGACGGAGTGTTCGTGGACGTGGACTCCGTTGACACTTCAGGTAAAGACACCAATGAGACTCCTGATTCCTGATCTTGGCCGGGACGCTTGCCCTGGGACCATGCATAATAGTCCAGTGAATCGACTCCTTTCTGGACACATGATAGCCACTGAGTCAAGGCAGAGGCTATGTCGGAAACTCCACCACTTGTGCCGCCTGATTGACCTCGGGATGCATGCTCGGTTCTGGTTGGGGAACCAGCCCTGTGAACACAAAAAAGCAGAGACTAGTCTAGGACGCACTAAGACTTTGCAACAACTGACATCATCACTGATATGATATGCGGCATGATGACAGTATAGTACATCGGGGGATGGGCCAGGCGTGAGAGTCCGGGATGTCCCGCTATCACTCCATACTCAACACTACTACACTCGCACTATCGTGACATGACATGTCTGACATGATCAACGTGACATGAAATCACATGGACTCACATGGATGTTCAAATGCAGATTCTGCATGTGTGACACCTGTGAACCAATCAACCCCACGCTCCCACGAACCCGGGAACGGACCCGTGACAAGCACGTTGCATGATACATACATTCTTTGTGGTGTGGTGGTTTTCAAGCTCCTATAAATCTTCCTCGTTCTTGCCGGGGGAAATCTTATAGCCCCATTCGTACTATAACATAAATGCGAATATGTCTCAACAAATATGTTGACCTCTTAGAGGTCTATAAATTATGAAATCTTCCAATCACAATATACATATTTGAAAAGGGATCGGTCCTTTCTTCTTTCAAGCGATCTGGGGTCTCGCGAGGCTGCGCTGCTGCACCAAAAAGGTTTGAAGTCTCCCGGCCACTCTCCCTGTGGCCTTCAAGCGAGCCCCAAACCCGGGTGGGCTGGGAGGGCAAGAAAATTTTTCTCTCGCCCTTGAGTAGCAGCGCAGCCATAGAACAATTCTCAACAAGTCCATGCTTCGCACATGAAAAATTTTCTTCAATACTAAACAAATTCTTCAAAAAGAGCATGTTTAAAATCATGCATCATGAGCTCTAGAAAACCCGCACTCTCCCCGTGCTGACCACCCCCCAAAAGAAAGACTAGTCGGCACGCCGAAGACGCCCTTCTTTGTGGTGTGGTGGTTTTCAAGCTCCTATAAATCTTCCTCGTTCTTGCCGGGGGAAATCTTATAGCCCCATTCGTACTATAACATAAATGCGAATATGTCTCAACAAATATGTTGACCTCTTAGAGGTCTATAAATTATGAAATCTTCCAATCACAATATACATATTTGAAAAGGGATCGGTCCTTTCTTCTTTCAAGCGATCTGGGGTCTCGCGAGGCTGCGCTGCTGCACCAAAAAGGTTTGAAGTCTCCCGGCCACTCTCCCTGTGGCCTTCAAGCGAGCCCCAAACCCCAGATCATCTCACGCTCGGTTGAAGGCCTGGATCCTTCCAACAAGCTCTTCAAGTCTCGAGAAGGGTTGCACACAAGATGCTCCGACCGTCACCAAAGACTCCTCTCCTTGGTCTCCCGACGGCGCATCCCCCGGATTGGAGTAGGATGGGACTCTGCAAACCCACCACATGGATGGCCATTCTCTGTCGAGCTCAGAGAACACTCGGGCTAAAGTGTGCATGGCCCAACTGCGGCTGGCGCCCTTGATCATGACACCTCTGGTTGCATCGTTGTCAACCCACCACACTATGCGGCGAGACGACACAAGAGCATTCAGTTGCAGCAGGGAAGCTAGCACAGCAAACATCTCGATCTCGCAGATGAGTTGCTCTCCTACCTCTGCTTTCCAAGATTCAAGCAACTGCAACGGGACCTTTCCTGTGAAGACCCAGCCTGTTCCACTGAAGCAATCGTGGGCGGCTAGACCAATGCCTCCAACATCAGCTTCCCACGATCCGTCGGTCCAAAGATGGATGATGTCAGTTATCATCGCACAGCTCAAGACTCTAGGGTTCTCGTGCTTCAGCAAAGAAACGGTGTGTCTACAGAAGTCACTAAGGTCCCTAGGACTAAAGTGCAGACCCCCAACAATCCTCGCAAGAATGTGCGACGCATGCTTCAGCGATCGGCCTGCGTAAAAGCCCGAGGCGTACTGCAACAGGCCTTGGATGACCTGAGCCTCGTGTCGTCGGATTTCTCCTTTCAAGCTGATTTCCTGAAGACGGTCAACAATCCTCTCTATCCTGCCCTGTTTGTTTGCTAAGACTACAGTACCCTTAGCAAGATCACCTAAACCCAAATGCATACCAAGGACGTCGAAGTCTGACGCAAAGGGGCGTCCTTTTGCGCCCGTCTTGGCGTGACGCCATCCTAGGGCATCCAAGAACGCACTCGCCGTGGAGTCTGCGTTTTCTGCGCTACCTGCCGGCGACATCAAAGGATAGTCATCGAAGAAGACGGCAGCTGGTATACATAGAAGTTTGTTCAAGAGAAACCACAGGGCCCTGGAAACCCTATTAAAGGCATAAACCGCTGCAGTGCTACCAAACATGAGCGAGTTCGAAATGTATAAGGCATCCTTTCCGTCCGATTGCCTAACTGCAATTACTGAAAGAGGTCGGTGACTCGGATGGATAGCAAGTTGCTTGTAAGCTTTGCTGAGGTCAAGTGTTTTGCCCTTCCACTCCGATGCATCCTTGTGCGCTCGGCCTTCGCTCACTTCCCTCGCTACGTGGAGGGCCATGGCTGAGATGTAGTCCGAATCTTGTAACCGCAGGTGAATGCTGGAGCTGTAGCCCGCGTTTAATTGGGATTCCAAGCAGTTGTCTATGGGTCTGGGTTTCAGCTCTGCCCCCTGGAGCAAAACAAACCTTCTGATGACTGTCCAATCGTTGGTTCCCAGCAATTTCGTAATCTGGCTCTGATCATAGTAGGGGCCCTCCAAAAAGCCCATGGCCACTTCCTCATCCGTGGCCTCCTTCAAGATCCGTGCCTCCTCCGGGTCTACCTTTTCGAACTTACTCAACAAGGACTTTCGTCTGGTGGCCGCTGAGGCCATGAGCTCCGTCTCTGTCAAGAAAGCGGGGACAAACTTACGATCAAAGCATTCTGGGCATTGGGAAGTTCCGACCAACCTTACCCCTTCTTTTAAGAAACCGATGACTTCAAGATCGTCATAGCCCTCGGACTTGAGTAAAGATTCCAACGCCAAAATGGATTTGCCGCTCATAACCTTAGCCACTGCCGGGTGCATGGCCTTGTGAAGCTCCGCCTCAGCATCACTGCATCTCTTCACCTCCTGCTTCACTCGCGCCACCGCCAAGTTTCGCTTCAAGACTATGAGCCTCGGGTCTTTAGTCAAGTTTTCTTTCAAGGCAAACAACGTGGCTTTCTCAAGTGGGTTTGAAGAATCTACTGGATGAATGACCTTCTTAGCCTCCTCTACAAACTGTTCAGGAGTCCTGTATACCCCAACCCTAACCCGGTCACCAACCCTCTCAGCTGGATCCCGTGAACTACTAGGGGTATTGGCCTCCGAGATGGTCCCTCTCGAAGGGGTGTTACTGGTAGGCTTCGAGGCCTCTGGGATGGTCCGTCCCAAAGGGGTGTTAGGGTTTGGCTCAGTGGAAGCTCGAAGCTCCTCACCCCCGATGCTGCGCAAGAGCTTCAAGTGTTTTTGCGATTTGAATGCTACGGCTGGCATAGTAATCACAGACTGATATTCGGAAACCAGCGGCGGATGACGCTTGTTTTGTCGGCCCAACATGGCCAGCGAGAGGTCCTTAGGGGATGGGCGACGACACAGGTTGAGGCCTAGCGACAAAGCCCTGCGCTCCACACACGAAGCGAAGCGAGAGGCAAACAATGCTGGGTAGGCCGCCTCATCCTTGGTGGCATACCGAACGGAGCCAAACTCAACAACTTGTCCCCAAGGTTTGTGCATGTGCTTTCCATCGCAAAGGGCACGCAACGGCTCGAAGCAGCCAGGCGTTGCAAGCAACTTTGTGCGTTTGGGGCGAAAGCCCCCATGGCAACACAAGTCAAAGATGATGGACTGCAGTCTGGGAAGGATACGGTTAGCAACCCCTTGTGGCTCAAAGGCTTGCAACACCTCCCATAGGAAACTATTTGCGGGATTCTCAAGACTGACCACTATGTCGTGCTCCAGGCAATATCGCAAAATGCGATATGTGAAGGCATACAAACGGTTTGCCAACTTTACACGAGTGGCCTCAACTGACCCCGGCTTTAAGGAGGGCAGGCCTAGCGGGAACTCACTACTCCTAAGAGGTTGGGGTCCCGGCTGTCCATTGTACAACGGTCTGCCTCTGGCCTTGCTGCTCGTCCCACATGAGGCGCCCAAATGTATTGCAAACGGGCGCTGTGTCTCAAGAAAGTCCCAGAACAAAGCTTGCCCTGAGTCTGTTGCTAAATCCAGCTGCGAGATGGGCACATGAGAATCGCAATGATGTTGGTCGAAACTGTGGACAGCGAATCCGCATTGCATCAGGGCCCGGGACAAGAGGCCTTTGCCTGCGAAAACCTCAAACACCATGGGTGGCCGTTCTCCCAGCTGCGCCGTTTGCACAGGCAACGGCACCTCAGGAGGTAGCACGAAGTTCAATTGGTGCGCTGCCTCTACATCCTTCGGTTCTAATTTTTCAAGTTGCTGCACAACCCAAGTGATCAGAACAACTCTTCGACCTGTCCAAGGTTCAGTTTCGTGGTATTTAGACCAAGCGTCAAAGATAAGCGGATCGTCCCCAATTTCGTGAACCGCTCCAACCAGCTCTTTAGAATTGAAGACTCGAACATCGTCCCCAGGGCCCTCTATCCATAAGCCCCCCTCCTTAAAATCACTCAAGCGAAAAACTGCATTCGGCCACTGCGCATTGCGGCCGTCACGATGCAAAGGCGTGAGACTGTCTGCAAAAATGCCACATGTGGAGAAAACATGACCTGGAAGACGCTCCTGCACAAAGCGGGTCATGACACGACTTGCGTATGGAAACTCTGCACACTCCTTACGCAACCCACGGAATCCACCTTGGGAGTAACAGCCGGTTACGAAGGACTGTTTCACTTCTCTCTGACCCTTCTGAAGATTTCCCTGAGGGAGCATATCAAACAAGGTCAAGAGATCATCACTCGTGATTTGGCCTGGTTTATTCAAACGGGCCTTGGACCACCCCTCAGCATCAGGGACCAGCAGGTCCCCAGTTTGCAATGCGCCCCCGTCGCTCCCTCCACTGATGGACGCACTCAATGGAAGGGACCTTCAGGCACCAGCCTTCGGACAGCTGGTGTACGGATGATTTCCGAAGCAACCCTTTTTCCAACACTTGTGGTAGCCCTTTATGCACCGGCCCTGCTTACAGGTATTCTTGCAACCGTGCGTGTTATAAGCGAAACACAAAGGCTTGTTCGCATCATCTTTGGTCACACAGCCCTCCGGCAAATCTAACTTTGAACCTGTCGCGACCTTTCCCTTGTTCCCCTTGTCCTTTCCCTTCTTGCCTTTGCCATCTCCCTTGGGAGGGGTCCAAGGTACATGTGGGATTACAGGGTTCTGCAAGGGTGCCAAATACTGCATGATGTCAGGGCTCCTAGACAGTCTACTGATCTCCGCGTCCAAAGCAGGAGCCGCCCCTGGCGAGGCCGTTAGACGTCCCATGAGGTTGTTGCTTGCAAGAATGAACATCTGCTTATCTGCCTCAATGATTTGTGAAAGCATGACACCCTGAAAGCCCTTCGGCTGCGCTCTCTGAAGAACTGAAAACAAGAATTGAACATGTTCCTCCATGACCCTGAAGCTTGCAAGGTTCGCCAAATCGAAGGCTAAGGAGCGGCGGCTCCAAGCCTGGCGCAACCTCATCTCTGATGAAACGTCACATGTCTGATCTGCAGATTTGGTTGCAATCTTCAGGTTGTTGTCGGCATCAATGTTTATGCTGCTGTCCCTCTTCAAGCACTGTGCTTCCTGCGCCCTACTAATCCACTTGCTTGGAACGTGATACTGCAACACACCTGTTTCAAGCATTTCCATGCACAGATCTACACACGAGTTGGCTGGCCGGGTTTCAGGAGTAAAAACCAAACCTCCCAGAGACCTCTCCTGTTTAGCCTGCCTATCCAAGCGTTCCGCCGCTGCCAACTTCTTAGGATGTCCTTCCACGCCGGGCTCGATGCGGGTACGAACCTCTTCAATCGCCATGCTCACTCCTTCGAAAAGGAGCCGACGGAGGCTGGCTTTCTGAAAACCAGACGGTCTCATGCCCAATCCATCAATCCAGTTGTCCACTGCCTCGTCGGTGAGAGTCGTTGGCGTAGCCGACACCGCAAAGGCCAGGCGGCCAAAGGTGTTGAAGCTGTTGTTCAAGAGTCCTGTAAGGGTTTCCTCAGACAGTCCGATCTTTCTAGCGCGGTCCAAGAAAGCTGCTTCCGAATCAAGGTTCGCAGAAGCCATGATACACCAAGATTTCGCGATCTCACGAACAAAGAACTGACAGCTTCCCCCTTGCACTAGATAATCCCCTCATCAGAACTTCAATGACGCATGAACATGTTTCCCTAATGAGTTCAAGCGATACTGCCTCGAAGCTGGAGCCAGATGCCATTGGACTTGCAATCGAGCTCTCACCCAGCTCCCCTCTTTCTGGCACCGCTTCCAGGTGCCATGGGCAGTAGCATTTGCATGACAAGTACGCATATTACACCGCTCCCAGGCGCCAAGGCAGTAGCATCTGCATGACAAGCACGCATATTCTTCTGGCTCCCCTCTCTCTGGCACCGCTCCCAGGCGCGAGGGGCAGCAGCATCTGCACGACAAGTACGCATATTCATCCCCTCTCTCTGGCACCGCTCCCAGGCGCCAAGGGCAGTAGCATTTGCATAACAAGTACGCATATTCTTTCGAATCCCCTCTCTCTGGCACCGCTCCCAGGCGCCAAGGGAATAGCATCTGCAAAACAAATGCGCATATCCTCTGCCTCACTCGTTCATGGCTCTCGTACATTGCATGCATACATCGGGATCTTCAGTCCCAACTCCAGAATATCTGGAGTATCTCGAAGTGCACAAACGACCACAGTAGAAGAAGCTTGCATCCCGAAGGCAATGCGCAATGCCTGATATACTATGAATCCGGCACTGAGAAACATCGACATTAGCAAACGGCACTCTCACTGCAGGTTGGCCTGGAAGCTCAAAGGGCCCGTCGGCCTCAGCATCATCTGCGGAGTCCTCCGATTCGCCCTCAAACCCAGCCAACTGCTCTGCGGCCGCCTCATCCCGCGCTCCTGTGCCCAGGCCTTGACCTTCCTCAGCCGCGGCCAAGGCGTCAGCAACTTGTAGCACCCTGTCGGCAGGCGCGAGATCTGGCTGAAAAGCTCCGCTTCGAATCGAGCGGTAAAGAGCTAAAAGCTTGCCGATCAAACTCGTATAAGCCTCGCGGCTATAAGTCACCATACTTTTGACCCCCGGTACAATGTGGTGACCCAACAGGAGACGTTCCCCTTTGCTCAGGCGCACCACTGTCGATCGAGAGGCCCACGTAAGCAGGGTGACTTTCAAGGAATGTGTTCCCAGAACTTGTCCCTCCGTTTCAGAGCCTTCCAAAATCTCCGCTAAGTAGGAAGACGCCTCACCAGCTCCCATAGGCGTGGAGCCCCACTCATCCAGTCGCTGAGACCTCGTAGGAAGGCAAAAGCCATCCGGTCCAGCACCGAACTTGAGCCTACACTGGCGTCTGGCTTCAATCCACAAGCGCGCCCAAGAGCATTCAGTAAGCCCCTGCGCCAGCGCCGCGTATGGTGTAAATTTTGTCTTGGCCTCCTTGCTCAAAGACGTCTTGCTTCCCAGAGCATCCCCAAACAGAATCTGGCTCTCTCCCGTGCCCAGCAGCTCCAAAAGTTTTAGTTTCTGGGAATCCTTCCAGCGACAAACGGCATGCACGCAAAATAAAATCTGTCCCAAGATACATTGACCAACCGGGCCAGCTCTCACCATTGCCTCTTCAAGTCGCCGCACCTGGAAGCATGTCAGCGGGTCACGCTGCTCCAACGGCGCCTTTGACATAAAGCATGAATGAGCAACACCCTTGCATCTAGCAGAGATCACCAGCTCCAAATCCAAATGCAAAAATCTTGCAATGGCATGAAGAAAATGTAAACTCTCCAACATGTGAGCTGGTGATGTTGCCCCACAACCTTCCTCACGCAGTGTGGTCAAAGCCGAATACAAGTCTGCCTCCTCCATGCGCCACGGAGAAGCCACCCCTTGCTTATAAAGTTGAACCACCAGCCTCTGCAAAGAGCCAGCCCTTTTGGTGAGCGTACCCGCCGATTTTGAACTGAAAGCATCGCTAAAACTCGCTGCAATGATCTCCTCCGTCTCAAGAGCACCCGTTTTCTGCACTAAACTTTTACCCAGAGCCGTAGCCAAAGGGTCCAGGAGCACCACAGCTTTAAGCTTCTTCAGAGCATGATTTCTCTCATCTTCATCGGACCTCTGAATGCGGACTCCCTTCAGTCGTCGCTCGATGGTCCAAGGCACATGGGCTGCATCTTCCCCTCCGTAGCTCTCTTCCGGCTTCGGAAAGTTTAAAGTCTCTCGCACACCCACCGATGGAAGGAAAGCAGCACTCGCCCAAGCATGAAGTGACGAGCTACCCGACTTCCGGTTAAAGGTCGGATGGCTCTCCCACGCCTGCCTTGGTCGTTCCAGCCTTAGCCTCTTGAAGGAGCTGTGAGCAGCCAATCTGGAGAACGAAGAATCAGAGACCTCATGCACGGGATCCTCGCTCTCTCTGCCGATTTGCGATTCACCGTCCAATCCAGGCGGAAACTCACTGGGAGCGACACCATGATCCTCGTCCCTGATCTCTCTGTACCACTCACCCTCATCAACAGCCGAATCCTCAAGAAGAAAATTTAAATCTTCAGACTCCGGGATGTTGTCGTCCGCCTCGCTAGGCAGAGGCCGCTCATCAATCAAGTGCCACATGGACACGCGGCTTTCAGAAGACACGGACTCTCCCACCGGCAAATGGCAGCCCGACGGTTCCGCCGCCTCTCTCCCCTGATGAATCGGCCCGGCGGGCTCTGTCGGAACACCTGCGCCCTGTGCAGAAAAATCACTCATATCAAGGTTGGGCACAGAAGAAGCTAAAACGGATTTGCCAGCTTACTCTAAGCAATTGCAGGCGCTCGACAGAGAAAAGGCAGGCCCAAATCAAGCTGGCAATGTCTCTCAGCTGAGCTGTTCTGGCCAAAGAGGCCTGCATGGCTGGGCCCACCTCTATCGAAAGCATTGAAGTAGGGGGCTCAGAACCTGCTAGACAGATATAAGCCCCCAGTCTCAAGAAAATTTTTCTCTCGCCCTTGAGTAGCAGCGCAGCCATAGAACAATTCTCAACAAGTCCATGCTTCGCACATGAAAAATTTTCTTCAATACTAAACAAATTCTTCAAAAAGAGCATGTTTAAAATCATGCATCATGAGCTCTAGAAAACCCGCACTCTCCCCGTGCTGACCACCCCCCAAAAGAAAGACTAGTCGGCACGCCGAAGACGCCCTACATACATACAACTTACAACTTACAACTTACAACTTACAACTTACAACTACAACAACAACTACTACTACTACTACTACTACAACTACTACTAATACTACTACTACTACTACTACTACTACTACTACTACTACTACTACTACTACTACTACTACTACTACTACTACTACTACTACTACTACTACTACTACTCCTGCTGCTGCTACTACTACAAGTTGTGTTGGTCTACCCACCCGTCGCCTGTACCATCAGCATCGTTGACAGAAGACATGTAGTCCACACTGTTGCCCATGACGCTGGCCTGGTTCAGCACTGCTTCGACGGCCTGCGCGTGCCCATCCAGGTCCATGTCAGCCGTAGCAAAGGAGGCAATGACACGGGGAGGGAGCATCGGGCACACACCAGTGCGTAAGGCATCGTGTGCCCTTTCGGTGTCCGCGAATAGCATGGTTTCCTCCATGACCTCCTCCTGAATATCTGTGCGCAAGATCTCTTCATCTTGCTCGATAGAGTCTGAAACGAAAAAGGCCCGGGACGACTCATCGGTGGCCTTGTTGATTGCGGCACCGTGGTCGTCATCATCAGCATCAGCATCCGCCTCAGCTTCCTCCATCAGGAAGTGCATCCCCTCCATGATCTCCGAATCCCCACACGCATCCGCATCAGGAGCTACATCATCTCCGGACTCGTCCCCGTTGTCTACACCAGCGGCATCAACGGCATCCTTTCCCGAATCATTGTGCTGCGGATCTGTGGAACACAGTTTCTTCTGGAGTTTCTTGGAAGGTGGTTTGAGCGTAGTCACAGGGACGGGTGCTTGCGTTCCGTAAGCACCGACGAGACTCAGGTCACACATTGAAGCAGTGGACCTGTGAACCGGGACGATGCATATTTGTACCATGCCCGATGCACCGGCCACATTGCAATAGTGAGAAGCAATCACATCGATGGAGTTGTGAAAGGTTCAGGGCTTGCGAACGTGCACCCACTTGTTGTCGTCGCCACCATTGTTTGACAGTGAGCACTCGACCAGACGGTGTGAAGACCGGATTTTCTCGCAGGCCACATAGTAGGAGAATGTGCTCTTGCGAGCACCCGCTGCTCTGTGTGCAAAACAAATCACAGGCACATGGTGGTGTCGATCCGATGAACTCTCTCGATCATGCAATGCACGGCTCAACAACATGTTGTAGCAAGCGGCCCAATTCTTCTGTGATACTGGAACTTTACAGGGATACAACCGGCGAACAATCTGTGCAAGTTTGGTCTGAGGCAGCAATTCTGGATCTTCAGGTGCTTGCCAGCGTGTGGTGTCTTCCTGGATTTGCAACCTATCATGCCAAGCCGTGAGGCAAGACCGCAACATGGACAAGGCTGTGGGTTTGTACGTCGACCACTTGCGACGTTGGCTTCCGGACCCAGCGTGACCAGCTTCGCCAAGGAAATGTTTGATGCATGCACGGCTGGATTGCAGCTCGACAGAGGCGTTGGGGCAACGTTCTGCGGTCAGCTTGAGCTGTTTGTTTACCCGCTCGTTTTCCCGCGTGTCGGCTTGCCAAACCCTGGCCACACCACGCATACAAACCCGTAGTGGCCCAACAAGCACTCCCTGAATAGAAGCCACAGTCAACTCTGCATTGAACAGCGTCTTCACTTTGCGTGCGTTGACCTCCAGCTGGTCTGGCTTGGCCGACAGCAGCTCGCGTGCGACCTGTTTGCGCTCCTCACAACAAGCAGAATCATGTGCTTTCACCAGCAACATGAGTCTCTGCGGATACGCCTCCAAAGTATCCAGCACCCTACGATGGAAACATGATGCGTTGTGAAGGATCTGCACAAACGCCAAATACATGAGCCATACAGCATCGTCATCACTGTCCAAGTCCGTTCGAG